AGAACTTTAAAGGATCTCAACTCCATGAAATTCACCCCAAGGAGCAGAGCTGAAGGGACCTTGACAATATGGTATTTACAGAAATTCCTCTAGACCTATAGCAATTCATTTAGAAAACATATGAGTAAAAGAGTAGGATGCACCAAACTGGTAGCATAGAGAAAGGACTTTTTTTTTTTCTCCACTCCAGAGTACTGGTTCAGCTCTGGGCAATCTTGGATGCACCAGAGAATGTTGTGGAGAAAAATAAACCAAAACCCAGAAAACAGCTAAAAAACCGCCCTGGGAAAACTGTTTCTTCCTGTGCACTCCACGTAATCTCCCAGAGACCTGTAGCAATGTATTAGGAGTCACTGTAACAGAAGTCACTCTATTGGAGTGTAGACCCAAAAGCTCTAAAAGCATATTTACAGCTACCTTGGACTTTACATGGCCCATGAGGGAGGAGTAGGACCAGGAGTCTGAGAGCCAAGCATTATTACAAACTGACACCAGGCACATTTATGTTCAACTACCAGTATGTTTTTTTTCAAGGTAATTTTGACTAAAAAGAGCTTGCTTGTTCACTTAAAGAGTACAATAAAAACACATTCTTTAATGGTCATACTACTGCCCTCCAAGTGGATGGCATATGACAGTTCTGAGTCATCCAAATACCAAACAAAAACAACGAAAAAAGAAAGCATGGCACGCTGGTCTTTATTGCTCACAGCACATGTGTGACAATGCATAAGAACAAGGATACTGAAACTGTGATATCTCCAAATAATTCAGGCAATGTGACCAAATAACCTTTTGGAGGTTACAATGGCCATGTACAGATGACAGCACTGTTGCAGCTGCATTTTATTTATTATTTCTTATTGAACAGCCAAGTGGCAACCACTTCTATTCTGTGGCTTTCTTGGGAACCAATGCGGTCTAGAGATAATAGTGTGCTCCATTATTTATGAATCGTTGGGTTTTTTTAACTAAGCAGGCAGCTAGCATCAGATTTATTGCTATCAGAGCAAAACTTGCTCTGCTCTCAAACAGGAGTGCAGGACCTGAAAAACAACAGTAACGCCATGATTTTGCAGTGCTGCAAAATGCACTGGAGGCGAGTTTGGGTGCACACAAGTGTAAAAAGAATGTGCCTGCAAATGATGTAGGCCAGGACAGCTATGTACAATCCTCCTGTGTGGCTGCTCTGTGCCCAGGCTCTCCGTATCTGAGGCAGAGCACCATCTCCCTGCCACCCACACTGATGCCCTGCAAAAAAACGGTTATTTAACTCAGCTCGGCGTGGGGGAGAAAAATGTGACCTTCCACTTCTGAATCAAATTAACAAACATAACAAGTCAGCATTTGTCTATATTTCATTAACTAGATTGACAAAGAAGTAAGAATGAGTGCCATATCTTTAAGGGTGCATCCTTTGTCTCAGGACACCTACTAATGTTATCTGAGAACACATCCAAGATATTCTGAAATCTTAGATCTTTTTTGTAGATCCAGCCTGGCATTCCTATGCACCTACTCAAATTGCTTCCTTCATATTCCCTAAGAGCCAACAGGCACCACAATGAGCAAAACTATCTGACCGAAGACCCTGAGACCTGGCAGACAGCAAAGCAAATCTTGGGAGTTTGGCTGGTCCCTAGTATCAGTTTGTGATCAGTCTGGTCTTCCTTAAAAAAGACAATAAGCCCTTCTGTTCAATGAGAAACACTAAATAATAAGCAAAAAATGTCTGTTGTAAGCAAGACTGCTTACAAAATATTGCTTAGATTGCTCTCACTATCTCAACTGTGCAAATACTTGCCTCCCTTGTTTCTGCTGGAGAATATTCATTAGCCACACTGTAAATGAGGGAACAGCCACGCACACAATATTTGTTATCCCCTTTCATATTTTTAAAGCAAACCATGCCTCATTGCCTTCCAAATTAATTTAAATGCAAAAGTAGGAGATTTATCTGTGGGGAAAAAAATAAAATCTTGCAGTACTGCTGGAGACTGAGAGTCCTTTGCACTCCCTTCCCAGTGAGGAGATGCCATATCCCACAGTACCCAAGAATGAGCTGTTGCCATGGAAACGACTCTCTGGGAAGCATCTCCTCATTGTTTCCGTGGTCATCCAGCTGTGGGGCTGTGCAGGAACAGCTGTATCCTTGCATCAGCAAATGTCAGCCCTCCCTTATGCGATGCACTAAAAGCTAAGTAATCAGATGAAGGGAAGCTATTTACCGCCAGAGAACGTGACTGTCACCAGCGCCAACTCCTCCTCTGGGTACTGGATCTTTTCTGCTACAATCTTCAGTATCTCCTGAGCTGAAGTGGATACTTGAGCTTTCACACTGACATAGGAGTGCTCTGTTATATACACACGGCAGAAAACTGCAGAAAGGAAGAAAGACATGTTCAGCAGCAGGCAGAGGCATCTGAACACAGCAGGGGAAAATCTTGCAGACCTGACCATAGCAATGCCTCGGCTGCTGTGGCTGCAGGAAGGGCAGCTGCTGCAGTCTGACCTACAGGGATATGAAACTAAGAACAAACATCACCAGTTTCCCCCTTCCCACATCCCCTCCCTGGGAAATGAGAGCACCGAGCAAATGGAAACAGAGACCCCATGGCTACGTTTCAGCAATAAGACCTCCTACCATGAGGATTTGTCATGGACAACCACCTCTGCTACCTATCTTCTTCGCAAACTCATCTGTTGCCATCTTTTCTCCCTTCCTTTTAGGTTTAGATAAATCACTATCCTTTCAATATATTTCAAATCCACTGCAGAAATTATTTTGGACCTTCACTTCCACCTGGAACAGGAGGCTTCAGAAGAACAGCGCTCAGCTCCGCCCTTCAACCGCTCCTGCTACCTTATCTGTCTAGACATCTAAACTACTTGCATTGCCAAGGTATTTTAGCACCAGCAGAGGCTGCCCAAACAGCAATGCAATTAGTTCTGACAACTCTTTACCTGAATCACTTGAAGCACAACTAAAAAGAGGCCTGGCTCAGAGAAATTCCAGGGGCTCATCACTTCCACTGAAGTCTGTGAGTTGGTCAGGCTCTGGGAGGGAAACTCCCAGCACTAATGCTGTGGTCAGCTCAGGTAGTGCTTCATTTCTGCTACAGAAAGGGATGTATGCTACACTACACTCCTTCTGCTTGCCAGAATATTAGGTTTAGATCTTCTGGTGAGTTTGCTGTAGCCAGTTCTTTGAAATACAGCTGCCATACTTAAAAGGGAAGAAACAGAGCTAAACAGAGCTGCAGACTTGCATAAATATTTCAAAAATTACAGCATCTGCTAATAAGAATCACCACAACTCTTGGTTTCATACTCACTTCAGTGCTTAATTAAACTTTCAATTTCCTTCTACTCTAGCACTTCTTATTGCGGACAGGCTGCTACCGTGTCAGTATAAGACAAAACTTTTCTTCTCCAGAAATGCTCTATTTTTTAAATTATTTTTATTGACAGATGCATGTAGCAATAGCTCTTTGCTTGTCCTAAAATCTTCATGGCTTCAGGGTATGTTCATTAACTAAGACCATGCTAGAAGTGGTTAAGTACTCTGTCTTCAAGAATATCTTTTTTTTGTGTTGTAGTAAAGAAAAAACTAAGATGAGAAGGAAGGAGGAACTTAACATTTAACCTTGTGGAAGAAAAGCAATTTGGTTTTATCCTTTTTTTCTTAACCTGTCTCTGCTGACAGTAAATCAGATGTTGATCCTATGGCAGAATCTCTCTTCAGAATGCATACAACTAATGAAAAGATAGAGACATCAAATTGCACTCTAAACTACTAGGTAGAAAAATAATTTTTAAAAAAATCTGACAGAAATATTTGGCCTCCATATGCAGCATTGCAACACAACTTGTCTACAGTGAATTTGTTTGAAATCTCCACCTCTCTGTCACTCAGGAAGGGTAGATGAGAGCAATATGTTAATTTATAACTGGGCTACTGACACATCCTTTGTTTAACATTGAACTAAACCAACCCACAGGTCAGGTCCTTAAACACAACCACCACACCAATTCTCCCAAAGCCTGCTCCCTCACGCACCTTTCAAATGTCTTGTCTGCGGTATCTATTGGCACGGGCCATGTCATCTCTTCCAGGAGCCTGCGCTGCTCCTCTGTGAGATGCACGTGGGAATGCCATAGGCTGCAGCTCACTCTGGCAATGCTTACATTAGGAGCTAAAATGCCTCCGGTGAAGTGGCATGGTGCAGCTTGGACAAACTCATCCTCCACAAGTGCCATCGGACAGCAGCACTTCACCAGATGTCCACCCTCAGTGTCCATTTCTTCTCTCCCCAACTCCACTTTTGCTATTTTATTTCCTCAATCCCATCATCGTCTATGGCTCATGCTCTCAAGGAGTGATATAAAAGCAATTAACCGAGTCAGGGCTGGCCTTGCTGGGTCCTGCCCTTCCTGTCCCCACAGCCTGTCCCCTCTCCAGTGCCAGCACGCTTTCCTCCCTATTCACCCACAAGCTGTGTCTGACTTTTTACGAAGAAGAGTGCACAGGTTCTCAACCAGAAATTACATTTTTAGAAGCAGCCTTGATAACATAAACCTCAAATAAACTTATATTTGAAGCACGGAAAGAGCATATCTATCAGCAGCACGTATTGTGTGGAAAGACTTGGCATTGAAGGAGCTCAGTTTTTATTCTGTCACAAATGAGCACTAAAAATATCCTGACTCCAAATGAACTTCCAGAGATTTGTTCCCAGTGAGAAAGGCAAGACTTCCAGGTAGGAGGTCCTTCTGCCTGTTCTCTGCTTGTGTACGCTGTGTTATCCTCCTCTCTGCCTCCTTCCTTGTACCGGCATTATGGGAGGGTGACAGTCTCACTGTGTTATTGCATTAGTAGCGAGGAAGGGAAACTGTATTTTGAAATGGTTGACACTAAAATGAAGTGGCACCTTGCACTCCGCACGGAGATGTTATCAAGGAGAGAAGGAACAAAGGCACGTTCCCAGAGTTAGCAGATCCTGGCCCATTTCATGTGACAGACTTCTCCATTCACCTTTTGCAACCAAGATCTAGGTCAAGCGACTGAGAGTATGAACTAGAGCAGGAATACTGCCTGGTGAGGCTGCCAGAACTCCCGGGAGGCACACAGCTCTGCTGCGGGGCTACTGGAGGAACCCGAACAGTGCAAAAAGCCCTTGAGATGTCATGTCACTGTTGAACCTCTGCAGAGTAGGAGGTGGGAAGGTAACCTGACACAGTCAGATTGTTCTTCTTTTATGGCCCTAAGATCCTGTTCAGAAGCTGAATGTCAGTTAAAAAAAAAATTACATTACAGGCAGCCCTTGAGAAACAATTGTACAGTTTTGGAGTTTTTCCTCCACTCTTTCAATCATACTTACTTTCTTCTGTTTCATTCATGGTTCCTCTGTGCTGCAGCCAGTTCTCCTTCAGACTGAACTGGTGGAAAAAGGTTTTACTCTGTGAGGGAGTGTAGAAGAAAAAAAAGAAAGAAAAAAAAAAGAAAAAGAGACAACAGTGACGCTTTGCTTCCTTGCCCTTTACAAAGCAGTAATTCACACAACACAGCATTCAGCCCATATGTCTAGACAAAAAGATTTCTGTATAGGAAATACACCCACCCTTTCTTGGATCAGTGCACTGGGAGTTGCCTTACTAAATAATGGCCAAGGTGGAGATTTTGGAGGAAGCAAGACATGCCTAGCCTAAGCAGCCTGCACAATTCAGGTTTCTCTCTAGCCATGTTTAGAGCCCATATCTTACACACTTATAAACGTTTCAATTGGCCTATTTAGCAATTTCACTACAATCTCATGTTCTGCCTTCCACATTTCTGCAGTAACATTTTAAGCTTATTACACACTTCAGCTCCAGCCCAGTAAATTTGAGGAGCACAGCAATTCACCTCTGTGCAGTCTGTACACCAGCTTTCTCTGGCTGCATCTTCTCCCTCCAGTTAAACAGACAGATTCATGTTCCTCTTTTTCTTTCTCTGTCCTTGTCACAACAAATCCCCCCTTTGCTCTGTTTTCTTGACATCTGTAGTCAATGCCTGTGCTCTGCCTGGATTGCCCAGGTTGCTCCATCTCTCCAGCCCAGTCGGGACATGCTCCCAGGAATTCCCTGAATTCTGACATCTCAGAGAATCTTGTTAAGATGCTAATCCCGTCACAGCCACTGCAGGTTAGCTCATGCAGCTGATATCCTGGCTGCACCAGCGGGGGAAAAAAAAAACAACTCCTTAAGCAACATTGCAGGTCTAACCTCACTGATGCATCCTGTCATGTTTTTGGCCACCAGTCACTTTCAATTGAGAAGCCAAGAAAAGAGAGTAAAGTGGGCACAGGGGAAGAAAGTGAGATGATAAGTTAGCTAGCAACCAGCAACAATCAGGCTTGCATTACCTTTCGGTGAGGTGAATACTCATCTACGGTGCTGAAACAAAAGGGAAAATCCAAATTATTCTTTCCAGCCAAAGACTAGGAAAATACATTAGAAAGTATTTAACATTAAATGGTCACTGCAGAATGGCTGCAGAGCTCCTTCAAGGTAAGCTAAGGGTGCCTGGCTCAGACAGAATACTTTTCTGTGACTTGCACAATTGATGTAGTGAAAAAAAATGCTGCCAGCCCGCGAGCTGCCAGAGAATACGGACACAGCTCAGGACCCCATGATAAGTAGTCAGGGTTACCCTCAGGGACACAGCTTTCTACCTCCCTAACAGCCAAACCACAGAAACAAACTCCATGTGTTGGAAAAACGTGCCAAGGAAATATCTTCTACAAATACTGTAATTATTAGTAAAATAATAGCCCTGAGATGACTATTGGAAAAGAGACTTGCTTCTCAGTACTGCAGATTGCAGAGAGAGAGTGAATGTACCATCTGAAGTCATAGACTACCGCTTCTGAGAGAAATTTTGCCAGCTTTTCCACAAAGTATCACTCTACTTGCAAGTCATCCCAATCAAAATTGATGGGAGTGACTGCTGAAACACACACACCACCCAACAAACATCAGAGAAGATTGAGTAATCTAGCTTTAGTTTAAAGAAGAGATGAATGGTAAAAATTAATATAGTACATGTATCACTCACCAATTTACCTTTACTGAAATACAGGAAGATGACAACAAAAATAAATTACACTTTAAACAAAAGGAGACTTGATCACAAATATAATCAACACTTACTGACGACGATGCATCCCAAGTATCTTCTGAAATTCTTTCAGTTCCTTCTCAAGAATGGGATATTCATATACATCATCTAACACATTCCTGTATATTGTCTACAAAATAAAACAGTATCTGCAAACATCTGATAACTCAAACATAAATCTAAGGCATCAGATCAGTGGTCTAAATCAATGCAGGCCCTAGCCTAATAAAACAAATTTCATCATTATATTTACACAAGACCCATAAGGACATAATGTTTCTGTTTAAATTTCCAGACTGGTCAATATTCATCTTGCCTTCGGTAAAACACTCTTCATATCATATCATCACCAAGCAAGAGGGAAAAATGTTGACCCTCATTAGTCTACAACAGGATGATTTAAAACAGCACTTGTGGCTGCTACATGAAATCTGGGTTAGGTCAGAAGAACACATTCTGAAGCGTAAGAACATACCACTCCATCATCACTTATCCAAAATGGTAACAAACAGGTTAATTTGATTAAGACTTAAAATAATGTTCTCCTCCATTTTTTTGTGTTTTCATGCATTTTAAATCAAGTTGATGTCTTTCACAAACAAATAACAACATACTCCTAGGTGTAAAGCAATAAATAAATAAACAAACCCTATTTTTTAGTTTTGGGGGAGGTACTGTCTGAATATCATCATCAGGAACCTCAGTTAAATGTAAAAGGCACTACCTCAGCTAAAAGGTAAACAAACTGAATTGGCTCTTATGATTGAAATTGCAGGAAATACTTTCCCTATATCGTTTCTGAATCTGTACGTAAAAACTTTCCCTTCCAAGAAAATGAAGATCATATGTAAGAGCTGAGTGAGCAGATTTACTTTAGCCCAATTAACACTTCATACATTCCAGTACAAATTATTCTGGCCCACAATCCTATGTATAGGTTTTGCACATATCTTCAACCATCCTTAATATTACTGCTGTTTAATACTGCACAGAAGCCTCAATTGACAATACACAGTCACCCACCTCCATGGCCAGAAAGACAAGCCCTGCATCAAGATAGGTGCAATGCAGTGTAACCTATCTGACGGCTGCAATGATGCGGCCTTTCCCATACAGCCCCACACGTCTAGTACCAAACAGCAAAAATCCTAAGGTCTCCACTTCTGTACGCAGTGTGTCCTACTCCAAAACCAAACCAACAAACAAAAAAGGAAGCTCAAGACTTTCTTAAAATTTAGTTCAATATTTCATCCCTTTGTCTTTCAAATGGGGGGTGGGGGACTGGAGCAGAAAAAATCAACAATCAGATGGATCTCAGGTCAGCAACAACATGGCTATTTGCAAATTTACAAGGGAATTACAAAGCTTTTGGAACTCATTCAGAAAGATCAGAAGATCCTTGCTAATAAGTAAGAACATAATTTTATTTATTAAAAATACATAAAGCTGTGCCGCTCTCCATTTGCACCTGACAAACACTGTGGAATAGCATTTCACTCCTCACTCAAAGCAGCACCTCTTACAAGGACCTCAAAACTCTCTTTTCACCTGTGATCCTCTAGATACTGACTGCAGATCCTATTCCAGCAGACACGACCAGTGCATCCAAGGAACCTCCACGTCTTTGTGGTTTTATTTCTTACCTTCCTAAATTTCCCCATTTTCTAGAGACCATGGAGTTCTATAATTTTCATATCTGAAAGTAATATTTTTGATATTGAACAAAACATTACAGCTTTTCTGTTCAAACCGAGTATTTCTAAGGCATTCAAGGAAGACACACGTAAATCATTTTACATTAGAGATTTCATGGAGAATATTTAAGTATGAAAAATTATGCTTTTTAGATTTTGCTGTTGGGGCATTTTAGACACAGTATGTTAATTAAACAGTGCTGAAATGCATCAGAAAGTGTTTCAATACCTTTAAAAATTGTTTTAAATGCTCATCTTCATGTAACCAGTCTTTGTAGAGAGAAGTCCACTGAGACACCAAATGCAAGACTTTTCGTTTTCTACAGGACACATCAGAATCATCTTCTTTCCCTTGGTAGTTCTTAGCACAATAGGTAGAGTAGGTTAAGGAACAAATACTAAGGTCTCACTGAAACTTAAAAATTAAGTGATGGAAAAGACTTTGCAATCATCTCGTTTGCTAAAGGAAGTTTTTTTTTCACTACATTGCTCAGTTTTAAATGCTTTATCCCATCTGGAGCTTCAGGAATTTCATGAACCTTTTGGAATTAAATTCTCAGTAATAGAAATGTCAGTTCATCTTCTATACCAACAGAATTTTCTTCCTTTATAGATTAGAGAGGCAAGTCCGTAACAGTAAAATCAATTCAAAAGGAATTATACAATGTTGAGTCATATCTTTTCTGCAGAACTGGGAACAAACCTTTGTCCTGCACATTGATGCCAATGTGAATGTCTGTGGGAAGGAGGAGAATGCATCATTAACAACAACAAAGAACCCAGGCAGATGAAGTCAGTTTCTTTTTCCCTATACAAATTACACTATCTGCAGAAATAACACTATTAAAATAAAAATAAAAAAATGAAATAATCTATTTCCAGTTTTGTTCTCTATTCATAAAGCAGAAACACCAAATGAGAGAAGATACCCCTTTGTACATTGTTCCTGTCCCTTTGCTATTCTTTCTTTTATTAGGTGAAAAGATGATATTTTAACCACAAAAGGTAAAGAGGAAAAAAAGAAAAGGAAAAAAAAAAAAAAGAAAAGCAAGTTCATTTTGTAGCTACAAGTTTATTCAAACAATGCTCCATAGCTTATGGAAGTAAATGAAAATACAAGAAAAAATTTATTTTCCCTTAGAATGAGTTAGACTTATATACTGTACCACATGACAAAAGGAGCAGAGATTGTAAAATACTTAAGTCTTCATTTTTTCTCTTCACATATTCCAAAATGTATTACATAGATATAGGTATTCTAAGAATTAACACACAGGTCTGGATAGGTTTTAGTCCCATTTCAAGCGTTAGTTTGTAACAGTTATAAAGTTTTACATATCTTTAAACAAAAAGAGCAGACATAAGATTGTATTGCTGGATGAGTTAGGAATCTGCTTCAATACATCTTTCAAGCATTCTTGTGAAGCATGCACATACCCAGATGTGTATGTTCTGGACACAGATTTATTCAGAGGCAGCTTTAGCTTTGTACACTCAACTTCGGAGCAGGAATTTTCTGTTAATTGATTCCTCAGCTATGCAAATTCTAAATGTTTTAATAGGTGAATGTATATCTATCTATCTATCTATCTATATTTGTAGGCATTGGTCAACTACAGGAACTCATATCCGAATTTGGATTTAATGTTTCCAGTTTGAATCTTTTCCTCCACAACCCCTTTGAGTTAAGAAAACAATATAACCTGAGCTTTGGGAAGCTACAGATTTGAATTGAATTCCAAGTATCATAAAAACCTTATGAAATGGACCAGAGAAAAAGAGACCTTGAAAGATCAGCTAAACTAGTCCATCCAAGTTCACATAACTAGTCCAACCTACAAGAGGCTCAAAAATACCCTATATGTTATGCTTGGAATATATTTTCTATTTTCTTCTTCCTAATAGTCTCCAATATCAAAGATTATTCTGTCTCGGACATTTTCCACTATAGTGTTTCCTCTCCTAATGTAAAAAAAATATATATTTTCTAGTATCTAACATGAAACTGTCTCATAGTAATTTAATCTCACTGCTTCTTGTCCTGTCTGGCATCAATATGGGAACAGATTCTTCCTTTCCTCTTTAGGTACCTGAAAGATTGTCCCATTTATAGTTTCCCTTTTTTTCAGTAAAACAATCCCAATTCTTTCAATACTTCTTTGCAGGTCTTTTTTTCTAGAACAGATAATTCCCATTGCTCTCTTCTGAGGTTTATCCAATTTGTCCATGTATTTCTTGGGGCATGATGTCAAAACCCCAGGTGCAGTCCACCTTCTAAGCATGCCATAGTAAATATTAGACAACTGTTCTCTTTTCTCACCATTCTTACATGCAACCTCAAAATAATCATGTGGGGTTGTATGTCAATAATATAAATATGCAAAGAGCAAAACTAATTATCCCAGACACGCAATTTACTACTTTTGATATAAGGCTTGACAATATATAAACCTAGGTGTAACTGTGTGACAATACAACCTTTAACAAAAGGATATTGCCTCAGAAGTGCCTGGCACAAGTCATCCGTTGTCATGAAGACTGTGTACGTGAGAAGGAAGTCATCCAGGAGAGTTTCTGCAGAGGAAGAAAAAAAAGCCCAACAATACATTATTGAGAGGAGGAAGGGAGTATCTACTCCTCTTAGTGTGCATTGCAGGAACAGGACCCCCTTCTCCTAAAAAAAGCATACATCAAACTTAAGTTTCAAACAGGGAACAATATGTTGCCACTGCAGAGATCAGATCCTTTACTGAACAAGTACATCCTCAGTTCTCAAAGAACCAACAAGCACGAATATACACAAAATAAGCCACAGTTCAGGAATCAGTAAGAAAAACTCCTTATCATGAACACCACTCTCCTGGTTGGCTCTGCTGCAAGCAAAGCAACCTTTCCACCAGCTAAGTTGCTCTGGAAATTCAGAAGAAAAGCTTTTAGTAACAGGAGAGAGAAAACTGTGATTAACATCTGTGCACAATAGTTGAGAATCATGAAATAAATACATCCAAATCCTTAGCTGGTTAGTCTTCTAGGCATCACTTAAGTGCTGCAGAAGTTTTTTTTTCTTCACCTGGTTTCTATCAGTGTTACAAAAATGGGCTGAAGGTACTTGCTGACAGACCATCGCTACCCACTGCAGTTGTAGCACCTTGGGTTGTCAGGATGAATGGCACTGCCAGTTCAGATCTCAGTGTAACTCTCTCATTCCCATGGCACACTAGTTTTAGGATTTTTCCAGACCTTTACCACAAGCAGCAGGGAGTGTGAAAGGACTAGGCTTCCTCTAAGATGAGACAGCTCATGAGTAATCTTGTGGTGGTCTTCAAAAACCCAACGGCACAGTAAAGATAAGATTGAGCCAGACTCTTCCTGGAGATGTGCAGCAAAATGACAAAGGGTAACCATCGTAGTGTGCAACAAAGGAAGATTTGTCTAGCTACAAAGGTTTGGTTTTTTTCTCCTTCTGTAAGGAGGGTCAACCACTGGGACAGGTTGCCTAGACAGACTGCAGAATCTCCAACGTCAGATATATTCAGGATTTGCCTGGACAAAGCTCTGAGCATCCTGGTCTTACTGGATCTTCTTCAAGCAGGGGTCAGACCAGATGCCTTCACAGATCCCTTCCAACTAAAATCATTCTACAATTCTTAAAAAAATTTGCTTCCCATTTTAATAAATTACTCCTATATGATATGTGATCTAGGAAGGAATTTGTATTTAGTTCACAAACAACAAAATCTTTCATTTTCTGCAAACAGAAAAGAGAATTATATTGGTTTTTTTAACTCAATATAAAAATGTTTGTGGGTCTTTGTTGTTTTTGCTGTTTTGGTTTTGTTTTTTTTTCTCAAAATTGTATTTTCCTCAAGTTTGGAGGAGTTCCTGTTCACCATATTTCTTTGAATTCCAGCAGATGTATAGCATGTTCCCTTTAAGAAGAAAACAGGTTTTCACCACCCCCTTTATCAGATGAAAACAAGAACATGGACAGATGCTGAATGATAACAGAAGCAATATCGGAGTGTAAGTAGTTGTTACTAGTTAGCAGCAATTATCCAGTTGTGATTTAAGTGGTGGATTTACAACTGTAGAGTCAGACCATACCTCAAATGAAAAAGGTAAGGCTGAGCCCTGATTTTCTTATCCTGATTTTCTCACTATTTGTTCGTGATCTGTTCCAGTCCAAACTAATGCTTGTGTAAATGTGTGCAACTGAGAGCACCCCAGCAGCTTTTCACGCCAAGGCTGCAATTTCACTATAATTTAGACCATCTTCAGTGACAGCGGCCTTGGATCTCCTTGTCAGTAAATTACTGACCCCATAGCTGCGGTGCAGGATGGCAATAGGAATTCATTTGCATACCATTCAAAGCCAGATATCATGTGGGTATCACATGGATGGATAGCTAACGACATCCCACCCTGTGAGCACGCGATTCAAAATACCTCTATTGTCTTAAAAAAAATAAATCTAGCTAGATCAATGCATTTAACACAGCTGGTCTAGAAAAAGTCCTGATCTGAAGACACATAGCTAAAACCCCTTGCATTCAGAAACAAAACAATTAAATTCTTTATATTTCACCAACACTGTTAAACACGCTGTAAAGCATTATCTCTATATAAAAAGAATATTTTGTCTCAGTCAATGAAAAGACATTGTGAACAGCTTGTTCTCTGTCTTAAAGGCAACCTATTCATTCTGTTGCACATCTTTTGGATGATACAATGCAGCTATTAAAGTTGGACATTTCACAAACATTTATTTGTAAACTGCTGCTCCTGGAGTCAAGAACCACATTTTAGTTCTTGACTAAACTATGTGACTGTGCACTGATCCTCAAGAAATCCAAGATACACTTGCAACAGATTATTTCCCCAACTTTCTACTCTGTATAGGTAATATCTGAGTTTCAGCAATACATAGCCACGTATTCAGAAAGGAAGTATTAGCTGAAACAAAACAGGAATGCTTGTTAATGAACTTCTGCAATTGTTCAAAATAGTGTGATTTTATCTTAGTAACTGCTGTTAAAATACCAACTTAAAAAGTTTATTTTTAATACCTGTTCATCTGTTTTCCCGATGTCTGTCTTCAATTCTGCCAGCATCTCAAAGTGTTGAGGTGGGAAGAAAGGCTGGGTTTGCTATGATTCAAGGTTTTTGCCTTTTTGCTTAAACTTTTTGCAAAACTTTTTTGCTACAGGTAATACTAATGTGATTCTCTCAAAAAAATTAATGAAGGGAAGATGATTAAAATTTTATGTTTGTTCAGATAACTTACAACTGTTTTTAAGCTCTCTGTTTATCTCCCTCTCTCTGCATGCTCAACGATACATCTAACTATTCAGTTTCTGGCTTCTAACAACCTTCTCAAAACAAGGTATATCACTTAGCCAAATTAAAGTCGCATATATGTATACAGAATGATTTCCTTGTTCGTCTAACTGCAGAGGACTTGCTAAGAAGCAAAGTTCACCAATGATGATTCCCATACCTTGTATATAGGCTAGATCTCTTCAAATTGCCCCTGAACTTGTTTAGAAATTTAAACCCTGAAGGAATGTTTTGAACAAAAGTCTGGATTTTACATGTGGTCCATTAATAGCATCACTCATCCATTAAATCACTTTAATAAGTAAGCAACGAAAGTGCTTTTCTAGATTAAATATCTATTACCAGACATCACCTAAAGACTTCACAATTATATTCCTATTTTAAAATGCCTGCACTAGCTTGTAAGTACTTCCCTCAAGTCCTACTGTTCACAGTAACTATGTTCTGTATTTTCTTCCTAAATGCACTGTAATTTAAAATAAGTCCAGAATGTTTTTTCATGCCACAGCAAGGACACAAAACCTGAGGGTGTACAGATTCTTCAAAAATAATTTGTTCAAAACAAGCAACTGCACACTTCTCAGATACTTTTGGACATTAATACATGTCCACAGATAACGACTTGCTGGTCTTAACCTGCAAACAGAAAGGCTAAGCATGAAAGAATTTATTCACAGCAAATTTTTCATTCTGTATTACTAATGGCCACTAAGAGCCGTAAATTTGAACAAGGCCCGACTCTAAGTCAGGATGATAATTATGAACAGAAGTCTTTCTGGGGTTTTTCTGTTTAGTCACAGTTGATTTAAGAGTTAAAAAAAAAGGCAACTCCAGACAAATCATTAATTATTTACAGTGCACCATACCCCCACTCAGAATGGCAGTGAAACGCATACTTCTTCTTTTTCAATTTTACCGTGTCCCAGTTTCTGCATAAATTTGTAACCATCTTCCCCATTATTCCCATAGGAAAAGTTTTTCTAGCATTTGTACCAAACAGGGAGAATAAAATCCACAGTAATAGTTGGAAAATAAAAACTTCCATCGGAAGGAAGGGAAGTCATTGTGCAAAAGCCTGTGATACTATGCTACTTTTTAAAAATTTCTCTTCTTCATGAATTTTTTATTCAATCATTTTCTTCTAGCCATCAATCTAATTTTTCTTTGTTCCTCACAATTTTCCTTTATTTGGATAAGCAATTATTACAAAGTATGCAGTTAGCTTGCAGCTATGGAATATTTCATTTCAAAGACAATTTCAAGCATTTTAAAGCTTCATTAAAATGTGCAACAGAAGCAGCACAAGTTCAATGGGCTCCTGCTCTTGTAGCTCTTTGGGGGTAGCCTTAGGCAGTAATCCCACCACACTGAATGTGTGCAAGTACCATAGGCATAAAAATAATGAAAAAGCAAGCACTGTGCTTGTTTGTTATTAAATAGTCAATTCACATCAGCTTCTGCTGAGCCAGTTTCTCACAGGCTGTGTGTCCCCTCCTTACCCCAGATAAAATACGGCAATGTGGACAGCAGCTTTACCGGGAGCAGTTAGTACTCCTCTTCCCATCTTTCCATGATACCCAATTCCTTCTGCAAGATATATTCAGAGTAGCTGAGGAATGGAAAAAGCAGTATATAGACCCATGTGAATTACCCAGGGAACATTTGCTGTCAGCTGGTAACTAAAAGAACGAGCAACATCTCTACAAGAGAAGTTCCAATTCTGTTGCGTGCGTAAGGTGATGACGGCCAACGGCAACGATGGTGTATTTGGTGGGGAAGGGGGATCTGGAGCCCCACAGTCAACAAATGATCATGTATTTGGATACACAACGCATCATATATTCCCATGTAATTAAGAGCAGCAGAGGATTCCTTGCTGCTTTCTGTGTGCCCACGTACCTCTGAAACCTGATCATATCCTTTCTCTCCAAGAAGGCAACTTGACAAATATTAACTCAATGTGAGGACATGTTTTTAAATGCCAGGAGGGTAGAATGGGATTCTCACATGGGTTTACACACAAAATTTGATTTTTCACTGTTTTTTTTTTCTCCCTTCTCCTCCCTTTTCTCTAGGCAAGGTATCAATCACTAAGCCTTAGGACAGAAATTAATACAAAGCTGTAGCCAGAAATTGTCTGTGACACAGATTTAACAAACCAGGACAGGCAGTACACTTCATGGTGTTGCCATGTCTAACACCTGTAAGCTCTTCTCAGACTTGAGCATCTTCTTAAA